TTAATACAACTTTGCGTTTTCTAGATATTTCAATGGAAAATGTCCAATTTCATATGTTGTGTTCAGACGTGTAACTAGGTTCATGAAATTTGGACCCTCCATGATATTTTTTTGTAACAGCAAATAAAATCACAATCCTTATAATTAGATCAAAATAAAATACTTTACAATAAAAACGTGTTATTAAAAAATATTTTAGTCTACAAAAAATTATTCTTATAAAAATTTACCACTGTAGAATGGTTCAATTTCGAACATTATTTTATCGTGAAGAGCGGATTCTTCGAAATTTAAAAATCTAAACATATTTTACGAAAATTAAAATCTGAAAAAGTGATTGGGTCTGAATTTGTATTATATTGTAAATGTAATGTAGAAAAAAATCCATTGAAATTATGTACATTTTGGATGCATGTAATGCAGTTTTATTTAAGTATACATTTTTTATAGAACATTTAAAAATATTAGCAGTTTCTATATCACCAGACGAACGTTTGTTTTTAACTAAATTAAAGCCCTTAAAAACATTGCTTCGTAATAAAACTGGAAATGAACGTTCAACGGGACTTACTGTTTTATTTGTGCATTGGAAGTATCTACTCTATAGACAAAGTATTGAAAACTGCCTCATACAAAAAAAAAAAAAATTATAATATAGACATTAGTTGAATATATTAAAAAATTATAAATTGTTTTGTATTATAAAATATTAGTCAGCTTATAGTAAAAATTAAAGATATAATATATCAATCACGGATGAGAATTGTACTAACATTTATTTCGACCTTCCCCCTACCCAAAAAATAAAAAATAAAATCCTAACTACGTGTCTCTTTGTGTTTTATTTAGTTTTGTTAAGTATGGAGTCAAGTCAATTTTTTAATAAAAATATATTCTATTGCTATTACATGTACATAATATACGTACATTTAATATTGTATGTATTTTCTAATCCATGCACCGAACATTATTACAATTATTTATTACAATTATCATTACTATTATTATTATTGATCTTAAGAAGTTGACTAACCGCTTTATTTTTTATAAATTGTTAATTATAAAGTTATTGATATTATATTTGGCACTATACTTGGTGACTATGTTCATATTATTTTCACATTTATTATACGGTCGAAAACATATTTCGCGCCAACGCAAACCTTATTTCATATCTAAATGTTCTATAATATTTTTAAGCTAATTTTGCTACTTACATGATCATTGTTTAAGATAAAAAATATTAATGTATATTATTAAAATAATAAAAAATTAAATAAAAATAAAATATTAGTAAATATTTAATACTCGTAAATTACATACAAATAAATAAACAAATAGTAAATTAATATAAATAAATAAATGCTAAGTCTGGAGTATCATTATTTTTGTAAAGTACGACTGGTTTCGAATAAAAAATTCGTTGATAGGTATATAAAAAGTCAATAAAATCATGATTATACTTTTTAATATACCTAACGATGCATTTTTGATTTCTGATCAATCCAAATTAAGCATTTATTTATTTATTTCTATAGGTATATAAACTATTTCATTAAATATATATATATTAAAATACGTTTACTTTCAAAGGTTATTACAGTTATAAAACGCAGTTTCTTTAAAAGATTTGGTGTTTGACATTCATTTTGTACGTATCATCAGTGTAAAAAAGTAGTAAATTATATTGTAAGAATAAAAAAAAAAATAATAATAAATCATATCCAATAAGTGGCTCTGAAAGAACTCCTCTTTAAAAGTAATCAAGATTTTGTTGGAAACGCACTTAATTAAATTTTTTTTTCAGGTTTTTGTAATGTTCATTAACTATACAAAAATTGTAAGTATAATTAATCTTGATATGATAAGATGTAAATATATAAAAAATGTTAACTCTTTCAGAAGTAAAAAAAAAAAAACTTTTATTGCTTAACCATAACATCTCCTATGAATTCAGAAACCAAAATGTAAACTTATTCCTAAAGTAACATCAATCATTGAGAGAAAAATCAGTTTTGACCACCATAATTTTTAATATTAATTTATTCCCAATATAATGAGGTTAAAGGTGGATTGACCTTTAAATATTAATATTTTTAAAAAACTTTATTATAATATTTATATTTACATCGTAGGATTCTTAATTAATATTATTCGCTATACATCAAATTATGTACTCGTATTTTACTTGATAACAAATAAATAATGTTTCATATTTTAAACATATAAGCCAGTTAGTTATTTATGAATGACAAAAGAAAATAGTCTTAAAGATTTTTTATTTAATAATTTTGTTAACAATTAATTATAACAAAAACATCTAAACTCATAATTTTCCGTTTAATCATGTGATGTAATAACAATTTATAAATAGTTTTAATCTTTCTTTTTCACAACATTCTATAACACTTTTTTATACTTCATGCTGATTGCTATAAAATATTTTAATCGTATAAGAAATATAATGTAATGTAATTGCTGTCCTATAATAGTATAATACATATTTATATATGTTAACTATATGAAACAAAAAAATAGTGTAACAATGCAACTCCAAATGTACAAGCCACTGTAAGCTAATAAACTATGTATTTGAAGCCTAAATAAAAAGTAAAAAATAAGTAAAATGAGGATTATGTTTCAATGTAGTTAGAAAAATATTTTTTTTAAAATTTAATTAAAACACGTCGCCTTGGAATTAGGCTAGTAAAATAACAACAGCTTTAACTTATTAATAAGGTCAACACGCATTCGTTACTTTGATTATTTTTTTAATTATCTAGTGTTTACCATAAAAAAGTTAAAAAAAACATTAATTAAGTACAATTTAATTATATACTTATAATTAATAATACGTGGCTAAGAGCCTAATAAATCTATTGCTTAAAATAACTCTTTACATTATTTGGAAAGATATAAAATTCCAAGTAATATGTTAGTAATTTCGTAGATATTAATTTATACATTTTAAATATTTAAAATAAGAAGACAATTTACAATCTCCCTAGAGAAATAAATCAATTTAACTCCAAAAATATGTGATTTAATTATAATGTATCCTTTGAATTTTTTTTGGTTAGATTGTTTTAATGTCATCACAACGGTAAGCCCGTATACCCGTATGCAGTGTTAAGACTTATCAAGATATAAATTATCTATTATTTTATCTAGATACAAATATAAACTTTATCTATTAATCTATCTTAGATAAACTCTTGAGATGTATTTTATGTATAATGTTAAGTTAATATTTTGAGTACCTTGGGAATTTTCCCATGCAACGTTTGAGTAGCTATGACAATAATATTTAGTAATAAAAATGTATAGTTAAAATGAATATCATTGAAAAAGTGGACCATACGTTTTTTTAATGTACATTTACTTCCTCCTAATGAGTATTGACCAAATGCAGCTATTATGTAGCACAGATTTATATATATATTTGTGAGCTTCATTAAGAATAACCATATATAATAACGAAAATTATAGCTTTTTAGACAATGAATATCAACTAACAATCATCGTCGTCGTCATCTACTGTTTCTTGTAAAAACTATTCAAATCTTCTTAAATATAAATCCTTTGATCTCCGCTGAGTAGTTTTCTTTTTAATAAAATTATATTAATAAGTTGTAAAATACTGCGATGTGTTAAACGACCAAACGGCCAAGCCTATTGCCCATCTACCATCAATAACCATTTGTTCGTGTTTTCCAGCTCGATATATCTTTCCGCTCTTTTTGCGGAAAACGTCAACGATTAAATTAAATTCAGAAATAAATATATAGTTCATTATCATATTTTAACCTACATTTTGATATTTTAAACAAATCAAATACTTATATAGACTTATATAATTTACTTATAGATACACTTCAAACACCACAAACAAATAAAAAAATGTATTCGTGATATGTCTGATATATTTTTTTTTTTTTTTGACAGTTCAATATAAAATCGTTTTTTTTTTAAATCTATCTGCTTTCTATCTAGATGAATTATGATTATCTTTTATTTTTTATAAAGATAATTTCAGTTGAGTTTATTTTTGTATTTTTGTCTTTATCTGAATAGATTTTTGGTATACTATTTTTATCTTTATAACTTTATCTAAATAAAAAAATTAACTGAACTCAACATTCAGTATGTAATATGAATGTATCTACACATTCGCATTGAATCAAAGAATTAGAGATCAAAAATTGAATCAGTATTTACTATTCTAGTAATTTTTTTTATTACAGTACCAAAAGGAAAATTTTTCATTATTTTTAAGCTGTTTTTTGTGTTTTAGTACTAATCCTTTATTAATGAACATTATCTTTTAGTTTACGACAAAATGTAAATGCTAACTTTTGAAAGCCGAGAAAAGACGATGTTTTTTCGCTAAAACAAATGAAATTAAAAACTCAACGACCCCGAAAGTATGACATCCAGTAATAAATGATTACTGTTAAATATACGTTATTATGTACACACAGAAACTCGTTACAGACTACAAGGAGTCACACCTTTGATATCATCGATCATCACCGACATTTATTGACAAAATACGAAGTATAAAAACGGAGTATGTAGTACGCGCAACACAACTAAGTGTATGCCAACGAGTCGTGAAGTGGTGAAAAATAAACACGACGTTTTTTGTTAAAAAAAATATGTACCCCGAAACCCATTCATCCACAACCGAAAATAATTATGCGCACTACCTATCTGAACGTCGAAAGTATAGCCGTGAACATAACTATCCCAATATAGAAAATCGAAATCGAAACTTGAATAATAACCTAATTCAATAAGATCGACCGTTTACATTGTATAATTTCGTTTATAATTTTATTATGATTAGACTTTCACAACACGTGTACACATCACGTATTGGACGGTTGAAAAACAAAAGCCAACGAATGGGCCCACGACCCCCGGGGGCGTTTCTAAATCCGGCGCAAAACGTGTGGAACGTTAGTTTATGCGACAATAACAGTGCGACGAGCGTGTACCTGTATCCTTCGGTGTGCGAGTGTCCGGCGGAACTCCTGGACGGTTCCGGTTGGCCGGCTACGGCGGCCGTCTGACAGTCGCAGTGCATGACGCACAGCACGATGGACGTGACGATGCATATGGTGAACGGGACGGCGAAGTAGTGCACGATGTCGGCGTACTGCTGCCGCTTGTCGTAGTCGATCACGACCAGCGTGCGATTCTGCCGGGAATAGTGGCACGGGAACGTAGCGCCCACGCTGCCGTACGCCTTGGTAAAATTGGAACAGGCGACGGCCGGCGGGTACCCGCAACCCTTGATGTTGACCAGTAGCACTGCTTCGGACACGATGAGGCCACCGGTGGCGTCGGCACCGGCACCGGCCGCGCCGCCTGCGCCGCCACCGGCCGTCCTGTACTCCACGTATATGTGATTGCAGTTGTACACGTCGCTGGTGCACCCCTCCCGGCACGAGCTCCACGTGCAGTTGTACAGGCCGGTCAGCTGTTCGCGCCGCACCGTCGTGCACTGCACCGGTTCCGGCACGAAGTCGGCCAGCAGCGTGGACACGGCCGGGTCCACGTACAGCGGCACCAAGAACAGTAGCGCGGAGCCCGAGCCGACGGCGATCATGGCGAACGACAGCGTGGAGTAGAACCACACCTTCTCGCGCAGCGTCCGCGGCGTGCCGCGCTTTTGCTTCTTGGCCGCCGCTAATTCCAATAGCTTCTTCTTGCGCAGTTGCTGCTGCTTGGTGTCCAGCAACAGTTCGGAGCTGGCTGACCGCATCGCGTCGCATGGTGCGCGACCTTGCAGCCGGTCGCGCGCGTCGTCACGCACGCCACTATCGCGTCCGCGGTGGCCGATGCGCGGCCGCCGTATCCGTCGCCAACACTACCGCGATGACGGCCAACAACGACGCGGCGAGCCGACAACACCATCCGCGGGCGCGTGCGCGCGACGACAGCCGAACGGCGACGTGCAACACGGAAGAACGAGCTGTGGGAGGGGGGTGTGGGGGGACAGAGGAGCCTCGGGCGATTATCGTCGACGACGACGGCTTCTGCTGCTGCAAAAAGACGGACACGTGAACGCGTTCTTACGATTATTACCGTCGTCGTTATCAATCCAATAACGCAGTACGAGATTCGTAGCGTGTAAATGCGTTGCCTCCCTGCGGTTGCGACGATAACAGTTAGGGGACTTGGTGTGCACAAGGGGGAGGGGGGTTGAGGGACAGCGTCGTGGTCCGTGCTACGAGTGACGGTCTGAAGCGGTGCGTGTGCCCGGACCGCCGTACGCCGACACACTAACGACGGCCGCGCGCGGCTTGGTGTGGTGCGTCTGACGGCACGTCGCGCGCGTCGCCCGGCGTAAAGCGCTGCTCGGCTGTCTGCCGGCCACCCGCGCCGCCCGCGCGCTCTCGACATGCACGCTCGGCCGCTACCACCGACGACTGTGACGACTGTTCCGCGGGGCACACGAACACGCGCACACATATCATCTACCCCCGGGCTTTGAACAGCGGCGAACGCACGTGCGTAACCTTTGCCGATAGCGATGCACATGAGCCCTGGAACGGCCCTCGTGGCCGAGCTATTGCCGCGGTCTTTGTCCGCGTGCAAGTGGCAGTGCTCGACCAGTTCTCAGCGTCAACAGTTACTTGTTTCGAAAATCTATCATGCATTTCTCCGATTACGAAAACATTATTTGTGTATTGTTTTCAGAACCGCGAAGAACGTATTACAAGCATATAAGGTTCCGAACCATTTGCAGTACTACCTTACGGTGTTCCCCCAGTGGCGTATCTATCGCCGATATCTATATAGTATGTACATATATAAAAAAAAATAGGGTATAGGCTTGGCAAATTTACGATGAATATTTGATTGATGGTTACGGACGGTTAAATGACCAAACATTTTAGGTTACCTTCACAAAAGGCACAATTGGCTGGGCTATTTTGATTCCTTTAAATACGTAAAATAATATACATATACATTTTTTTTTTTTTTACAATCCAAATAAATTTTTTTCAGGTCGAGTGTTACATAAAAATTTTTAAAATGATCAAGTGGTACTTAAATGTAAATACATTGAAAATCACTATTGTGAGATATTATATTTTTGGAATTCGATTTTCGTGTATTTGTACATTACTATTTCAACTAAGTTCTACGTAGTGTTTAAATCATTTTGAAAACGTAAACCATTTATCATCTGTATCAGTTTAAGTTAAATTTGTCCTTGTCTAGCTTTAGACAAAGGGGTATTTAATGATTGTACTAGTTGACATCACAGTACTCGTATATTAGAATGTGCATTGATTGATACGTATATGGTTAATAGTTTTCTACATCTAGTTAATTACGCAATCACACCATTTGACCACGGACCTTTTTCCAAATTGGCTTTCGGGTGACTGGATTGCATGTGCGTGATTCTGTAATATTAAAATATACACAACTGTCTCCTTCTGTAATTTAAAGTTATATCATATCGACAATCAACGCGAATCATAGTCACCGACATCCTTTTCTGTGTTCTCTTTAGACCGTTCAAAATTTAATCATTTTCACACAGATTTTTCTTTTATCGTTTTGGCTACAATAAAAACTATAAAATAATTGATCGATCGTTCAATATAAAAAACGTCATAAAAAAAATTGTATTTAAATAAATAAATATTTTATACAAACGTATACAAAAACACTGAGATATTACAACGTACAATTCTCCTAACCTAAACGATGTAATCAACGTTTTAACAGTTTCTATTATCCAAACTTATTAACGAAATAATTGACTATGGTGCACCATTTTTATCGCTACGGAAGCTTTACGCAAAAATTTATTTCGTTTTTTCTTTGTTTGACATAATCGTTCGTAGAATATTATATTCGCAATATTACAGTGGGCCTGTAGTATAAATCGGAGAATAAACACTGAGTGTAAGTGATAAATCATCACTTACAATAGCGGTGGAACAGCGCTGGAAACACGTACCTAATTACGAATATTACTACGTTATACATTATAAATAAGAATAGGCCAAAACATTAAAAAAAAAAAAAAACTACAGCACATGTTATATATGGAAAAACATACATGCGTTCATGGAGTGGTGGTGGCTAATATAGCTAGCTGATGACAGCCAGACATATTGTTGTTGAAATACGAAATATTTCATAGTTCACATTTTTAGAAAACGCCCCCGAACAGTTTCTTGAGATGAAATATACACACGCACGCACACACACAAAACATACAGATACGTGTGCAAAAATAAATACATTCTACGCATACTAATACTTGTTACTACGTATACAAACATGTAACAAAAACTTTTTATTACAACTCATAATTTATTAGAATTTGACTAGAATGGAACGAAAAATCGTATAAAATATTGAAAGATAAATCAAGGAAAACCAATTTAAGTGTACAAAAATAAGTAGATAATTAAAATGAATACAAATAATTATGAAACAAGAAGCACATATTTAGATTTTTTTTGACTTCATAATGGAATTTTAATTTATAAACATTAATTTAAATTAAAAACCTATTTAATTTTGCTTTATTCATTTCCAAAAATATTTTCATTTTTCTATTACCCATTCAGCATTCACCATTCAATATCATTTGTATTTTAGGAACTTTTTTAATAGTTTTTAATATTAATATTTAAAGCTATTGAGAACTATCAAAATATTAATGACATACATCATGTTACCAATAGTACTTCCTTCTACCTTTGTGAATCGTGTGTACATTTTGTATTTAATATTAAGTGATATTTATATTTTACTTATTCATGTGATTTAATATAAAAAACTAGAAGTTTTTATCGAATGGCTTTTTTGAATATAACATATTAATTGTTAAATATATTCTAAATAATATCGGAAGCATCGATGTTCATCTTTAGACTACACAATAAGAGTGATCTTCTAATAGCAGTAATGCATATGGAAAGTAACTTGCAATTAAAAATTGACAGTTATTTTTGTTGCTTTTTCGACCGTCATTCGAGTGTGCGTGTTAAAGTGATATTTTAGATGTCAAAATTATTACTAGCTCATGTCAAATCCACACTCCGTAAATGGAGAAAAAGTTTCGTCCAACGACAGTGGTATAAATGGGATTGGTGATCCTAGTTTTGTAAGACGTCTGAACTCTAATAAGAACTTAAAAATATCTCTGATTTTCGTTGTCTGGTAAACATTACTTTAAATGACATAATTATTGTTGTAATTTTTGGCTGACAAAAAGTAACAATATTGAAATCATCAACAAATATATCGAATTAATGTCCAAGATTGTTTGAATCAATACTTGGACTATTTTTAATATCAAAAAGTATAATAAAAATTGAATTGGTCCTATGTTTACCATTATATGATTTAATCTAAAAATTAAATTATTATTAGTTCATATTATATTTTGTGTTTTAAAATTGTTATATACAATTTTTAATATTAAACAATTTAAATAATAAGAAAATTATGAAAGGAAAAAAATTTATATTAGGTATATAATAATATTTTTTTTAATTATGGTTGAAGTTTAATACGATGGATACATATTTCTTTTCATTATATTTCATGCATTTTCGTTGTCCTGATCAAAATAATGTAACTATTTCTTTTAAGTAAAAAGTATAACAAAAAAGTGTAAAGATATTTTAAATACTTTTAAATTAAACAATGCCTCTAATATTAACGAGAACAGATATTTTTTTACGTGTATTATAAGATAAACATTGATCAAAAATAGTAAAAAGTTAAAATACGTTTTAATTCAATATTTGAATTATAATATCTGTCTAATAAGATAAATCATATTGTTTGATTGTTTTTGGTTTTTTTACAGTTTTATGAGGAAACTACAGTCGATGATAAATATAACCATCAATAATCATTTCCATGGCAATTCATTCCATTTTACGGAAGTTCTATTTAAAATAACATTGAATTAAAAAAATTTTAACTGACTTGATTTATTTAATATTACTTATATAATTAAATGAAATAATTTAGACTTAATATAGCTTGTATTTTAAAATAACAAAGATATACGTAGCTATACATACATGTGTAAGCCGCTTTGAAAATAATTATTATTTTCTATTGTCTTGTCATGTCGATCAAGTTGTATCGAAAGAGCTTCTCATTTTTTTTATTTTTTATTTATTTATTTTTTTTTTTTTTTGGCTACCTACTCGAATTAAAACGTTCAAAGTTTCCATGTAATTTGCTAATTTACATCAGTAAATAAAAGTAAAAGCGATAAGACTTGTAATTTAAATGTTATATTTTAAAAACACGACAAAATAATATAATTTTATCATTTGAAAAAACTAATATTATCTTATTATCTATTAAAATTAAATTCGTAATATTATAAATATCTTCTCCAAATATATTACTTTTTTAAATTTTATAGACTTTTAATGGGTATGCTAACAGATTACAAAGAAAAGCTCTCTAAAAAAGAAGTTACAAATCTAATAATATTATGATACCTTAATGAATACTTACTTTGATCAATATAAATTAAATGAACAACTGTGTAAAAAAACTACAGGATATATAATTAAGTGTGTAAGTGTAAGGTAGAGGTTTAAAACAATTAAATCACTATTATATTAATATGTACTCTAAATCTAAGTATTCTTTTCAAAAGTACAATTTACTTTATTTTATCTAATTTTAATGTTATCTTTGTCGTTTATAATTTAAAATTTATAATCTACAATTACACACAATTCTGACATGATAATAAGTTTCTAAATATCAATTCTGTAAAATAATTAAAAAATCAGTAGCCAATAATAATAATAATAATAACGCGTTAAACAATAGTAATTTTTAAACTATAATGAAATAAAAACAAATCATCTATAGAATACACTAGAATATGATCATAAAGACTGTCCCATTTTTAGACGGCGTTCTTGTAGATGAGTATGAATTTATTATAATAAATATATGATATTATGACTTAAAAATCTTCGTGCATCGTGCACACACAAACTGTATATATTCCATTTTTTCAGGTATTTAAATTAAACATTTTCTATATCCGTATTGATAAGTGTAACATAGTAGAAAATATATTTATATTTTCTTAAAAATCCTTGTGTTGATGGTTAATAAACAACAACGCATGAAGATACACGTAACTACGTATTAGATTATGGCTTATACAATATATACAAGCGTTGTATGATTTACTATGTATCTAAGCTAAATTTTTTATATTGGTTTCAAGTGATTGATAAATAAATATATTTTATATCTTAAAAAATAATACAAAACTAAATACAGTCTTAAACTTTATAATTAAAGGCATAAACAT